ATTTTGAGAACAACGGCATATCAAAAATCGTTTTTATTATTTACGTTACAGACGCACTTTTTTTTTAATAGTATAAGAGTGGAACTTATATCTAATGTAATAATTTTGGTTGAAATAAATTTGGAATATTTTTTTAATACGAGTCAATTCGAAAAATGTCTATTTTACGTCTGTTAAAATTTATTATTTTAAAATTTATTTGTTTTAAAAAAAATATGCAAAAAGATATAAAGTGTTATACATTTCTAAAAACCCCATTGTATGTAGATTATAAGCAATTATAATATTGTAGGTTTTATAATAAAATTTTAATGAAAAAAAAAATACTACTAGTGAGGCGCAAAATAAAGTTTTCCAACTTCATCGAGACTTTTACCGACGTCTCCCGACGCTTTACATTTGATGTTGTTCTGTAGCATAGATATTCATAAATGACATATATCAAAATCAGCTGCGGATACGTGCGGTTTTTGAAGTATGATACAAATCAGGAAACAGAAACCCTCTATCTATTGTGGTTGAATATTTTATTGATAAGTTTGCGTTATATTTAAATTTATTGGAACGAAGTTCCTTACGGCACGCTTGGAAGGGATAGGGATTTTGCTGCGCGACCGAACTGAAAAAAATGTGATAGTAAAACCGTAAGAAAAAATCCGTGGAAAAAAGTGCGTGGAATAAAACCGTTAAATGAGACGTGCGCAGGCGCGACGAAGTTCCTTACGACAGGAGAGAGAGCGACGAGGGTGCATCACTGAAATATTGTGATATTACACCAACACTGAATATGTGTGAAGTTATAGGGAGTGGTAGAGCGACGAGGGTGCATCACTGCAATATTGTGATACTACACCAACACTGAATATGTGTGAAGTTATAGGGGGTGGTAGAGCGACGAGGGTGCATCACTGAAATTTAATATTGTTATATTACACCAACACTGAATATGTGTGAAGTTATATCAAGCTGTGGACCAGTAACGCCTGTGAGATATGATTATGATTACAAGGTGAGTACTTATCAGGAGGTGGCAGAGCGACGGGGGTGCATCACTGGATTATTGTGACATTGTAGTTTATTCTAAACTGTGGGCCAGTCCTGCCTAGCATCCTTTACGAACGCTAGCGGGACATGATAATAAGGTGCGTATGTAGGGGGTGGCACAGCTACGAGGGTGCAGCACTGGAATATTGTGACATTACACGAAATCTGAATATTTGTGACGTTATACCGAGCTGTGGACCAGGAACGCCTGTCATTTGCTGTAAACTTAAGCTAGACATGATAACAAGGTCAGTACTTAACAGGGGGTGACAGAGCGACGGGGGTGCAACCCCAAATTATTGTGGCATGATACCAACACTGGATTATTGTCGTATATTATACTAAACTGTGGTTAAGTCCAGGGGGGTGGCAGAGCGACGGGGCTGCATTACTGGATTATTGTGACATTGTAGTTTATTATAAACTGTGGGCCAGTCCTGCCTAGCAATCTTTACGAACACTAGCTGGCCGAACTGAAAAAAATGTGATAATAAAACCGTAAGAAAAAATCCGTGGAAAAATGTGCGTGGAATAAAACCGTTAAATGAGACGTGCGCAGGCGCGACAGTCGCATACACAAGCGAGTTTGCAATTTGTGTCGATTCTACATTAGCCGAAGGAACTTCGTTCCTACCTGGTGTCCCACGATACCACATCATTTTTTTTTTATTAGTTATCTATTGATAATAGAGCGTTTTATCTACATTTTGCACTCATTTTGCGGTACAATTTTAATAAACAGAATGCACACTAACCTTATTTATCAAACAATTTAAAAAGCGTGGATTCATTTTATATACTTATTAAAAGTTCTTCATAAAACTAAACAGACGTTTGACTGTCAAGTGTTTTCGCCAAATTTCAAAATGACTACTACTTTTAAGTGTTCTAAGCGTGTATTATTTATTACTTTCATACATTGAAGGAGGAATAAAACTTGAAACTCTATCAACAGTTTTAAAAGAAGACTTATCATGTTTCTGATGACAACGTGTGCTTTATAAAGTGATATTTAAAGGAATGTTATTCCTAGCTTTAATAGACGATGGACAGAAGCGTTGAGGAAAAAGGACACATTTAAAAAAAACGACTATTGGTTGAATTCTGAGTATTTGGTAACTTTACCGGATTCGGAAGAACTAAAACCTGATTTTACGCCATTTACTTCTTCTGGGAAACGCGGAAGACTTTACTTAGTGATTATGGCTTTGAACACATCTACAATGCCTTTATTCAGGGATTACGTTCGATAGGAGAATGAATAGAAGCAAATCTCTCAGAAATATTAAGGCTTGCCGATCGTGATACTAAAGTCTTTATATTTTAATCTCATAGATAACGCAAGCCAAAGTAAAATACTAATGAATCAAGAGGTATTAAGTGTTTTCATTGATTTAGATTTAACGAAAGCACAATATACGTATTTACGAAATTTAACTAACGAACGAAACTGTTTTATATTCCCACCATTTTAAAAAATACAAGAAATCAAACAGAGATGTTATCCACCACCTTCAGCAATAGAAATTACAAATACACATTCTTAAATATTCAGTATTTTCTTCAAGATCTATTGGACCACACTGGAGCTAGGATTTTGGTTATAGATTCGGTGTATAAGAATGGATTGAGCCATTTAGTTTTTTACAGTAAATGGAGATGTGATGGTTCATCTGGTCAAAGTCAGTATAAACAAAAACTTCCATAGGAGTTCCCGAAGTTCACCAAGTATAAATAAAAATAATGTATGATTCGTAACAGTCAAACGTCTGTTTAGTTTTATTACGAATTGGACGTGTATACGCAGCTGATTTTAATACATTTTATTTATGAATATCTACGCTACAAATATAGCACATATTTTTTCTAATATTAATTTTACTTATAAATTAGTATTTACTAATTTTCATATTTTGTGAAATAAATATTTAACTTTTAATTGTTTATAATTAAGGTGTGTTTTAATATTTTTATTTTAAATAAACAAATGATATAATCAATTTTTCTTACAATATAAATAGAAAAAATAAGCTCAACGAAATTTCTTAAAACCTTTTTTTAAACATTTTTATATAAATATTTACTTAAATAAAGGTTTTGTATATGAACTTTATCTAAAATCTTATTTAATACTAGTGGCCCGCCCTCGCTTCGCTTCGGTGTAGATCTGTAGTGTAGATTATAGATTTTGTTCTCAGGCGTGTATTATATACATTGAATTTATTTATTTAATTCTTTTTTTATGATTCTTTTTTTATTGAATAGGTAATAATGTTAACTTTTTTAAATTAGGGATGAGTGAGAGTATTATAAACGTAAGAGTAAACAAATATAATAAGAATGCTCCGAACTGCTAAGCTATCAGGAGTTACACGTATTATTGTGAGTAAACCATAAAAGATAGACATATGCTGTTGCAGGATATTTTTTAGACAATTTTATGAAGAATATTTCCGTCATACATGATTTCTATGTAACTTTAACCATTAAGGCTGCGCACGCGACGGAAGCTTAAAAAATGGAGTAACTTCTCCCGTTTTCCCAACATTTCCCTTCACTACTCTGCTGCTATTGATTGTAGCGTAATGAAAAGTATACTATAACCTGCCTAGGAGTATGAAGAATAATTGTACCAAGTTTCGTTAAAATCCGTCGAGTAGTTTTTGTTTCTATAAGGAACATACACACAGACAGACAGATAGACAGACAAAAAATTTACTGATTGCATTTTTGGCATCAGTATCGATCACTAATCACCCCCTGATAGTTATTTTGAAAATATATTTCATGTACAGAATTGACCTCTCTACAGATTTATTATAAGTATAGATTATATGATTGACCAAAAATTCAACTGTCTTTCTTAACAAAAAAAAAGTAATCGATTTTTGATCTGAAACACGCCTTGATTTTCCATAGTGCGCCGTCCGGGTTTTTTCCCCAAAATTTGACTGGGAGAGAATGCTATTAGCATTAAGTCCGCCTTTTGTACCATTCTTTTGTATTTAGGCCAATAAAGTTTAAGACCTGGATTCGATGTAGACTATTTTTATATGACTTAAAATTAAATTTCTTTCTTTATAAATGATAGAACTTTTTCTGTTGCTCGAACTTGTACTGTATATATATAACTGAAAACTGCATCAAAATCCTTAGTTTAAAAGGGACGGTGACTATTTTTTTTTCTTTTAGGTACATTATAGAAAAGTATTGGAGACTTATATTCGTTTTATTCACATAATCAAAATATTACACAGATTATTATTATTTATCGATTTGTAATGTCACATGATGTGAGGTTTACGTATAAATGACGTCACGAGCACGAGTGCCATTTAGTTGAATGGCAAAAGAAAAAATATACGAGTCCAATATTTTTTGATTATCCAACTGACGGATTAAACTGAATTTGATTTACTTTTATAGTAATATAAGTTATTTACGGGATTGTTACCATGTACCTTGTTTTTAGCTTAATGTTAGTGACCATGAAAGTTAAAACAATATATTGATTTACTTTGCCCTGTCATCATCCCTATTGTTAATTTTCTGTGTAATTATAAAAAAACCTAACAACAAACCACATTAGGAATTCTAAAATCCACGCAGACTAAGTCTCATTAAGTCTTAATATTTAACGGAGTTTATAATTTACTTCAACAATCCCTTGATTTCGGAAAAAAATTTTTTTAATTGAATTTATTTTTAGTTCAAGCTTTCATAAATATTTTTAAGATTTATTTTAAAACGTAAAACAACATTAAATGTGCTGTAAATTATCTTTATATTCTAACCAAAACATCCTAATAAAGAAGCGCTGTTAATAAATAAGTAACATTTTTTTTGTATTTACTCCTTTAAAAAGTCATATGAACATATTGAATAGCATGCCTAACAAAACATGTTGCCATTAATAGTTCACATACAATTTTCGACTTCTATTTAAACTTACTTACCAATAAAAAACGAAGACAGAATCACCACCAACTTCCTTATAAAGTGATCCATTTTCGTTATCAAAGCACTGTCCTCATATTAAAAAAAAAAACAAACCAAAACAGTTCCGATGTGTAAAATTCGAAAGAGTTTCCACTGAAATGAATAAAAAGTTTTTTTTGAAAAAAGAAAACTTTGTGGAACTTTTCCGAATCGTGTGTTTCGCGCGCCTTTCTTGGCGCGTAACACGCTACCCCCGCGGCGGTCGGAGGCGTACTGACGCAAGCCTGAACCCCTAATAGGGTAGTATCGTCCCCTACTATTAGTTAGCGGATGTTTCAGTAATAGATTATGTAGCGACTGAGCCAAATTGAGTGATAAATGGTTTCGAAGCAGCGTTCAGGCGAAGCGCGTCACATTAACTGTGTCACACTGATTTTGGGTAATGTTAGCTAATTCGTATTTTAGGTCAATATTTACAAGTTTCGAGGGTTCCGTAGTCCGTGCCCAAAGGGTGACAATTAAACCTTTCTAAGATAAAGAGCGGCCGTCCGTCTGTCTGTCACCGGTATGCCTATATCTCATGAACTATACACAAAACTAGATTACCTATAAAATAAAAATAAGATTATAGAAGGGCAATCGACATTTTCACAAAATGAAAATAATATGAATTGATGAATTCTAAATTGAAAGACTTCAGAATAAAAAAAATATGTTTCGAGGTTTTGATACGACCTAACGACCCAGTGTAAAATCATCTACAGGGCTCTTTATTTACAGGACTGACTCGTACTTGTACATTTTTTTTCCTTTCATCTTTAGAAAGCAACATTACATTATTAATAATTGTCATTAAAATGACAACTTTATTAGCAAGCATCGGTGATTTAGTGGTAGAAAGCTTGCCTACTACTCCGGCGGCCCACCTTCAATTCCCAGCGGAGGAAGGATTTTTTTCCACTTTCTACAAGCCAGGGTATCATCAACTTACTAAGTATACGTAGCTGGCATGTTAAACACGTTAGAAGTTTTTTGTTTATTTTAAGCATGTTACTGCTAGATGTTCAAATCTAAAGAAAGTTTTACTAGAAAATATTCCATGCGGACCAGGCATCAGACGGAACTTGAATCCGCACCCTTCGCTATCCGAGCGTGTGTGGGTTACCTACAATGCGGAGAGATAGTGCTGCGGTGCAGCTTAAAAAAGGCTAGAGAAAATTCTACACAGCCATCAGGGCCGCAGTAGCATAATGGTCAGTGCATACGCCCGGATAGCCAAAGGTGTGGGTTCGAGTCCCGTCTGCTGCTTTTTCCGCCTAGAATTTTTATCTAGTAAAATTCACTTCAAAAGTTTCACTTACACCGTAGTTTCATAAAACCAAACATTATTTTTCATTCCTTTTCAGTACGTACTCTCGCCGGAGATTTGTAAAACGATGACTTAGCTTTCGACTTTGAAATTGCTTAAAAGACAGCATTACCTATCAAAATATAACGATCATTAGCTGATTGTGTATACATTCGCCCACATTCAGTGACTGCTTGCGCCCAACCCAACAGGACGTGTAGACAGGGTTGCTAGCCGTACTTTAATAGTACATTATGATATAAGTGCGGTAAGTTGAGAATTACAGCCGAGGCGATATTGTTAGCCCAAGCCGTAGGTGAGGACTATAAGAAGGCAGAGGCTGTAATTATCAAACCGCACGTATGTCATACGACGTTTTATAAAACATTTGCGAGGAAATAATACAACGTACGTACGTACTTTGTGAAAATGAATTTGCACCTTTGTTTGTTTTCCATTAGATGAAATTTTGATACGCTTGACTGTAAGTATCTATCCGTGGATTTTTTGGGCAAGAGGCTTAGCGTAGCCTTTTTCTACTGCTGGCGGTGTCAAATTAATAAATTCATTACCACTTGACAATAATTTCAAATAAAAACAATACAGCGAAAATAAAAGGAAATAACTTTTTCACAGATTAGCGATGCGCGCGCATCAACGTTTTTTTTAGGCAAAGGAACAAAAAACAGCCACTGTTACTAATAAAGTAAATTAATATTTTTGTGAATTTGTTACCGATACTGTAATTTATTGTCAAAATGAATCAAATTAAAGAATTAAATGTTTGTATATTAAATTTTATCTCCCAAATATAGATAGTTTTATTAAGAAAATGTTGGCTACCTTTCTGACATAAAAACTCTTTGCTAAGACTTAAAAAAAGTATCGTTCGTTTTTAGACGGAACATAATAAGCCGTGCGTTTTACTTTACATTACCGCACGCGTGTGTAATGTGATAGATTATGATATTGAAATTGGTGCAATAAGAGACGCTTTACGAGCAAATTTGTTATAAAGTAGATTATTGTACTCTTTAATCAATAATGCAAATAGAGGGCGCTAAAATACTCACACAATGTCTTCAAATTCAACTATCGCACTTACAGACCTGAATTATCTTTTGCCTTTGTGTCTGGGAAATGCCTTACGCATCCTTCAACCACTATGGGAGCGAGATGAAGGTATGTGGGACTCCTCACTGTCTGCCCTGCCCTGGCTAGCTGAAGTGAACAGGGCCCTACCTGCACCGTCACCCGACACGCACTATGAGGACCACGGTCCCCCTAGTGCGTGCTGAGAGGGCGGTTGTGGTTGCGGCACCCGTCTCCGAATGGCTGCGAGACGAGACGTGAATTACCTGTTAAGTTTGATAAGAGTTGAAGTTGACACTATCTTTCAATTTTTAAAAAATCCTTTTTAACTAACTATATAATATGTAAGTACGAAACAGAACCTTAAATTAGGTACCAACTCATACTAGACGTAGACATAGTCTATCTATCTATTTTGTATCGCAAGCGTCTGCTTGCGATACAAAAAATATATATCTACAATTTAAATGGTTCTCTCTCTCTCTCTTTCTCTCTCTCTCTCTCTCTCTCTCTCTCTCTCTCTCTCTTCTCTCTTTCTCTCACTCGCGCCGTAGCCTACTTTGACCCAATCCCTTACCCCGTGGAGCCCTGGAACCGTGAGTAAGGTTCCACGACACTACCAAAAGATAGGTAGTGCTATTTACTGTGATCTTCGGTAAGGCGGAGGGTAAACTCCCAAGACGGGCGCTGCAATTCGAGCGGAAAATCCGCTATGTCCTTTCCTCCTGACTTCTCTATAAATTGTGTTTTTATTATTGTTTCACAGTTAAGTATGTACTTTCACGCCATTGCGTGGTTGTTATAGCAACACCACATCTACACAAAATTTGGCATGGGTTGGTTTAAGAAGCGCTATTGGATTTAATAAAGTGCTTATTGACCTTTATGAAAGTGAAATGTAAATATCTTTTTTTTATTTCCTCACCCGTCTATCTATTATAGGATTTTACTAAAATATATGTATTTTCAAGCCCGTTGCAGCATGGGTGAAAGCTCTATTTTTCCGTGCAACGGACAGAGAAATTTTGGGAAATTACCTACCATGAATCGTAGGTTGGCCACTTAATACTAAGTATTGTCTTCACACAAAAACTTATACACAAATTGTAATGTCGCATTACTGAGGGGTAATAATTCGAGAGATTTGATCGAAGTAACGACGAGTACGTATTTAGAAACTTTTTAAAGAAAGAGGTTTACAAAAAGATTCTGGTGAGAACCTCCTCAGTTTCTGTAACTCTGTTAAAATGAAGCTGTGTTACGGGCATTGCTGGTGTCCATGGGTGAAGATGACCTCTTGATATCAGGTAGCCCGTCTGCTCGTCTGCCTTCGAAAGCAATAAAAATAAACTTTTTATAATATTTTTATTTTGAGCATTTAACTGCTAGATAGGTATTTAAATATAAAGAAAAATTTCTAGCAAAATCCACGCGGACTAGGCAGCAGACAGGACTCGAACCCGCACCCTCTGCTATACAGGCGGATGCACCGGGCCTTATAGCCGTGTCGAATTATTTCTAGTATTTATTAGGCTGCAAAGCAGCACCATCTTTGCATTGTAGGTAACTCACAATCTCAAATGAATATCTTGCCAAGTAATAAACATTTGATGGAAATGATCAGCAATTGTAAATATATTTTTTATTTCTAAATCATTTAACTGCTAGATAGGTATTTAAATCTAAAGAAAATTTTACTAGAAAAAAAAACATTATCCAGGTGTCAGACAAGATTCGAACCCGCATCTTCCGTTATCCGAGACCTTAATGGCCTTGTTGAATGTCTCCTCTCGTTCCAAGCACCATCTCTTCGCATTGTAACCAACAATGTATGATGGCGTTCTACCTTGCAGCCTAAGAAATACTGGAGTAAATTCGACTAGCATAATTTAGTTAGTGCGTCCGGTAGCATAATTGGTTAGGCTTCCGCCCGGATGCGTATTGCCACCCTGCATATAAGTACAGATATCTTAATCTGTACTTGATAACTTTGTGCTCAATAGAATAATAAATAAACCTGAACCTATTTCTAGAAAAAAATATTACCTTTCTATTTACATTGTAGTAGGTATCTAAGGTATATATTTTTTTTAAATGAAGTAGGTTCATAAAACATTTGAAATCGAAAGAGTAGGGATGCATTTATTGGGAAGGTAAGTACAAGTAGAATTGTAAATTTGTTATTTAGATAAAATAACAAACAAGGGAAAAGATAAATTACTTTGATTTGGTTGATTCTTCGATATATTTTCAAATAAATAATGTTTTATTTTTTTTAACACATCTCTTCTTCTTTGTATACGGCGGCATTTTTCTTTTGTGATCCCCCAGTCCTTTCTACTTGCAACAAACTTTATTCTTTGAATGGCATGGAATTTTTGGCTTGCTCTACGTTTTCAATAGAATTTAACATTTATTAAATTTTCTAATTAAGACTAAATTGCTTATCGATATATCGGTTTGTAATAGGAAATCAGAATTTAATACTATGAAGTATAATGTATTTCCATAAAAGTGAGACGGCGTGTCTGCTCTTCCATGTATTTTGCTCACACCGAAGCTACCATTCTACATAGCAGCCTAAATTGTCTGTAAGTGGAATATGTTGTTAACTCTTACCCCTTTATTAATAAACAAGGAATAAGCTTAGACTAGTTACACCGTGTTTTGTTCATTTCACTTAAATGCCATTTGTCATTCAACGAATAGAGACAAAACATGGATTAACTAATCCAAGCTTATTCTGCGTTTATTAATAAGGGGGTTAGAGGTTATCGCAGAGAGTATTTTATTTCAGTCTCTTTCTGCTTTAACATGCAGTAAGCTCTCCAGCATATTGCGTGCGATTTCAGAGCAACTCCTGTCTGTAGAAGTCTGAATTATGGCAATACCCGGAAGATGTTGGTTCGAGTACCGTCTGAAACATGTGTTTTTTTTCTGGTAAGATTATTTTAGATA